GTCTAGTCTCATTCACTTGTCATTCATACAGACTTCCCAGCTCTCTCATACTGCGCTCAGTCATGGGACCTCCACATACGAGGTCTCGTACCCAGTCTTCGGACTCTCGGGCGGTAGCCCCGATATCTTTCGAAGATCTTTGTGAGTTTTCATCCAAAGTGACTTCAACTTTAGTGGACGTCGCAGACGATGCAACAATCAAGGGACATCAAGCTAAAGAACTCCGCAATGCGACAGCACAAGCCATCTCCGACGCATGGAAGGATTCCCGTTCAGCCACGGCCGCACTTGCTAAACAGGTGAATGAGTCCAACAGCTCACTCCTACAAGGCCTTAATGATTCTTTTAGCGCTGTAGGACAGAGGATAGATGGTATTCCCCAGGTCCTACCTTGTATGCCGGAGGCATCGTTGCCCCGCATACCTTACTTTTCTGGCGCTAATGGTGGAGATCTCACACCTTTCTCGGTTTGGCTGCGCCGTTTTGAGGACATCCAAAATTTGCGGCCTGCGCCTCTATCGCAAAAACTTAAGGCTTATCACTTAATCGCATATTTGGAAGGGGCTGCGCGTGAGAAAGTAGATGAATTAACTGAGGAGCAGCGACAAGATTACGATACCGTAGTGGCGCACCTGAGAAAATATTACGAAGGCCCACATCTGCGTAATATGGCCCGTAGGGCCCTATCCATTGCCAAGCAGGAACTAGGGGAATCCGCCGCCGCGTTTGCAGACCGTATATTTAAGCTAGTTAGAGCGGCTACCCCGGACCAGGATATATCTATGCAACAGCAGCGGGTCCTTGAGGAATTCACAGCGCGTCTTCGACCCCGTACGCGTTTTCAAGTTGAGCTTAATAACCCGACTACTCTCCAGCAGGCGCTGGATGTGGCGCAGATGGTTGAGCAAATTGCAGAAACCACACCACTGGATCATTCCTACTCCTCCGGCGAGGTCAGACCTATTGAAGTCAAGTTTGCTAAGCCGGAGCTAACCCGCAATCGTCCCGGAAGGGACCGTTTTAGAAATTCTTTTAGAAATACAAGCAGATCACCCAGACCCGTTTCAGGTGAACGCTATCAACGCAGGGAAACACCCTCACCAGTCAACGGCTATCGTCGCGATGGTATTCCTAGTCGAACCTGCTTTAATTGCGGAGGATTGGGACACACAGCACGACAA